CATGACTGGGAAAATTAACGAAAAAGGCCAAATCTAGCCAAAATGTAATCGATGAGGCAAGAGGGTTGCGCAATTGGGCTTGGGGTGACAAATTCCATCGATTTTGGCAAAAATCTAGTCGAGAGCGTTAGAAGAGCTCGAATCCAATGAATTCTCTAATCTTTGCTAAGGTTGAGAGAATGATGGAGATGGAATTTGCAACTCGAGTAGGTCGATCGAGCATCTGTTGTATCCATCCAACAGGTGGAATTAGCAACTCCGATAGGTTGGTAGAGCTCCTGGTGGTTAACTGGTTCGTCAAGCTCCCTTTCTGGTAATGCATTATAGGTTGTCTTCCTTCCACCCCTCTTAATCATCCTTTCTATCACCTTTCCTTCTTTTAACAACTCATCTTGAATCTTTAATGTTTAGCAAATCGTGGTGATTGAACCGCTCAAGGCTTATCTCTCTTCCCCTTTGATGATAGGTTTTGGCAAAGAATCCGACTGGATTCAACGCAAATCGGTCGATAGTAGGCCGGCAGAAGCTGGTTTGTAGGTGGTGTGCAAGTTGGAAATGTCAACAAGCTGAGGATGGGAATTTCAATCCAAACAGTGTGCAAAATGACCACTTTATCCTTTGACTATTATAGTATACAATTTTCTGGTACTTTAAGAGCAAGAATCTAGAATAAGTGAACCAGAGGTGAAAACATGCCATTTCACTAATCTTTGGGTGGGAACATGTCGTTTGCTCAAAAAAATAAAATAAAATAAAAAATTGTAAAGTAAAACTAAATATTGAATACAAAATATAAACACACGTCGAATGGTGGTTGAAATAGTTAATTAAGCATGAAAACTATGACCATTGAAATAGTTATTAGTACTATTTTTTGAGAAGTGAAGGAGGCTTTAAATAATGAATTTTTATGGCACCTTTTATCACATGATACATTTTGAATGACCCACTACCTATTTCTAAATCTAGTTTTACATCATTTACATAAAATATCATTTTATTATATAGACTTATTGTATAAATTAATTTATACAAATTAATGTGACAATTATATATGGACTAATACTACACTAATAACCATTTCTCACAAACTTTCTCTCACAATCCTGATGTGACAGCTCGCAATTAATTAGTGGGACCTATGTGAGACCTGTTGTGAACTGACTAATTGTGACTACCACGTCAGGGTTGTGAGAAAAAGTTTATGAGAGAGAGCTATTGGTGTAGTATTATTCTTATATAAGTTAGTAATATTACCAACTTTGTCTTGTTTCATTAATTTTGAATTATCTAATCATATTTTGATATATCAGTTTATATAAATTAATTTGTATTGTATAATATTATTTTTTAAGAATATTTTTTCCTTTATTTTTTGATAATATAATTAATAATGAATGACTTACAAGCTTTATAAGTTATAAATGTGTGATCCGTATGAATGAGATTAAAATATTAACTATAAAATCATACTAAATCTTACAAAATATAAATATATTAATTAAGCCAATAAGATAACTTAATTAGATTAAGAGATCATTTTATTAGAAAATAATATGCAATAGATATCATATTTGACTACACAAATCTTGGTTTACATAGAGTGTGTAAAATGATAAATAATATTAAATAGCTCCTTACCCTTTAAATAATCAAATAATAATTTTATCAAAATTTCAAATAGTTAATTATTATTAGTAACACTAGTTTGAACATGTTTAACCAACACTCCTTGTACACAGTTACATAAACTTACATGTAGCATTCAAATTTCATTTTAAATTAAATTAAAAATATATTTTAAGTATTTGAATTTATTTTAAAAATGAAAAATATATTACTATACATAGCCCCAAAACACATGATTTAGGGAAATTTCATTTTCGTTAATTTTGTTTCGAACAATATTAAACAAAATGATCCAAAAAACCCCAAAGGGTTGCCCTGGTGGTGAAGAATATTTGCTCTCTTTATTACTTCTTGGGTTCAAACCACTTAGGGGTTATCTACCACATTGTGCTTACCTGAAACATTAGGTTGTATGGTGTTTAATGGCTTTAGGAATTCGTTGAGGTGTGAGTAAGTTGGTCCGTACGCTCCGATTATAAAAAATTAAAAAAATCCAATATAAAAAAAATCTAAAATATTTTTAGGAAATTTATAATCTAAATAACAAAATTTAATCTTTTTATAAATTGATGTTAACCCATACTATAAAAACGGAGATTAAAAAAATATGTGTTAGTGGAGCTTTAATTAGCAGAAAGTGACTGCAAAAGTTTAAGAAAATACTTCCCAGTGAGCCGGCCCAGTATTTTTCCTGCATTGATCAAAGCTACCACCTAGTGGATACGTGGAATTTTATTATTGGCTCAAATTATTTACATAATTAAAAAATTATAATGTATACCTAAAGACTTATTTTAGTTTTTTTTAAAATAACAATAATCTATAATTTTCTTTTTTTTTAAAAAAAAAAAAAAAGATATGTTTGGTTACAAGTTATATGAAGAATTTCAAGAATTAAATTTTAATAGATACTTCAAAATTTAAATTTTGTGTGTGATTGTTTTCAAATATTTAATAATATTTAAAAGTATATCATTGATTTTGATATCTATTTTATTTCGAATTATTAACTAAACTACTTCCTAAAGTTTTTGAAGCAATAAATATAATATATTAAATTAATAACACGTAAAGCATGTTTATATTATTTTCATCTTAAAAATTGAATCAAAACCACACACCACTTCCCATTATATCTCCATAAAAAAATGATTTCATTAAATTAAAAAAAATAATACTAATTAAAAGGTATTTTCATATTTTATATTATCTGAACATTAATTTATTATCATAATTTGTAAAAGTAAATTATTAGAATCCAGTCATATGCATAAGGTTAGCTTTACAAAGCAATAAAAATACTAAAAAAATTTGACTCACATGAAGAAAATATTTTTGATGAAAAAAATAAAAATTGAAAAATGAAAATTAATGAAGTAATTGAAGTGAAAATGGTTAATTAAAATACTATTAATGACAAAAATGAGTCCACAAGTAACGCAAGCCCTATATTCCACGTGGCATTCATCACATTTTCAACAAAAATTAAATTACAACCAAAAATTGTATACCCATAAGTAAAAAGTCTTCACAAATCTATCAATTTTTTCCAAAATCATCCATGCATGCATCAAATCAACCAATTTTTCCATTTTTGTATTTATTATTATTTTCTCTTCCATTAATGGTCTAAAAAAATTTATATATGTATAGTTTTTTTTATTAATGCTTATAATAGTATCATGCGATATGATTTTTACTAACACAGCATCCGCAAAGCTTTCCACAGTCATGGTCACCTGCTTAAATTTTATGAGTTAGAGGAATTTAACCTTGAAACCGTACATTTTAACCACTATTTCAGCATTTGTCCTACCACTTAAGTTACCCGAGGGTGGATGTTGTGATATGTAATATGTTAAATCATAATTTTTAATATCAAATATTGACGTAATACATTACTATTAAATTGTAAATTATAGCATATTTGGTTGGCCTTATCTACTTACCAAATGAACTTTTAACATCATAAACACTTTTATTTTATTTTATAGGTTATTTGGTTGCATTTCGAAACTATTTAGGGATGTTTTAAATAAACTTTTCCGCTTATATGGATCCTTAAGCCTTTTTCTTTAGCTTATGTGCGTTTGGTTTAGTATTTTGGATAGATTTGGGATAGTATTGGGTTATTAGATATGGGAGTATACGAGGTAAATTTTAAAAATTTATAAAAAGCCCTTAGGTTTACTAATTAACTAAAGCCCCTAACATTAAAATGACAAAAACACCCCCCACCACCTGCAGTGTCAGATTCCGGCCACCACCGCCGGAATCTGGCCGAAAAATTTCGTTACGGCACAGACTTGTCGGATCTGTGCCGTAACACTTCTTTATGGCCTTTCCGGCTAGATCCATAGTGGATCTGCCGGAAAAGGCCAGATCTACGGTCTGTTATGCCTCGACGGCCGAAAAGGCCAAACGAGGGTCATCTTTGGCCGTCAGCGATGGCCAAGAGGTGGCCGTCGTTTTCGGTCAACGACGGCCATTTCTTTGGCCGTCGCTGACGGCCAGATCTGGCCTTTTCCGGCCAGATCCTTGGTGGATCTGGCCGGAAAAGGCCACAGCAGTGAACTTCCGCATTTCTGGTCGGAAGTTAGGCCGTTTACAGATTCCGGCTATCACCGACGGTGGTTGCCGAATCTGACAAGTTGGGTTGATGGGGTGTTTTTGTTAATTTTTAAACTTTTTTTTTAGGGGGTATTTAGTAAAATTAATAACTTATAGGGTTAAATGTAATTAAAAAATAGGTAATATTTTAGAATATGTACAAACGCTATTTGAAAAATAGGATCCAATAGGGATAAAAATATTAAACCAACGCATACAAAATATCCCTAGTCTATTTATAAATGTAACTTAATCTATTCTTATATTTCAAAAAAAATTTCCAATAAATAATATTAGAAAATCTTTTTTTTGTTTTTCTAACTAAACTCATAGAATTTTATTAAAAAACCATATTTTTATAAACCTACTCTCATAAACTGTACTTGAATAAACCGTAACAAACGGACTCTTAATATTCAATTATATTTTAACCAAATGTTTAAGAAGAAAAAAAAAAAATATACAACGGTTTGACAAGATAGGTATATAGAGAATTAAAAAAAAAAAAAATTGTTTTAAAATTTTGGCTAGGTTATTATTATAATTATTATGACCCAAGAAGCAGGTAAAAATAAAGAAAATAGGTTTGAACAATTCTTCTTTATAATAAAATGAAGCTACTACCAAAATCGTTGCTCATTATAATTGGCAACAAATAACACAAGTGAAGACAAACTGAAACCAGTCCCACACAAAAGCCGCTTCCAGACGGCTAGTAAAACTCCCTCTCTTTCCTCTCTCTCGCCGGCCGCCCTTCTCAATGTTTTAACCTCCATTTTTATACTCCTCTCATTGGATGACCTAGTCACTCTCTTCCCTTCTATTTTTTCCAACTCTTTAACAAGTTTTTCGGTGTGTGGTTTTGGATATCGTTTTAAGAAGTTTAATGGCGAAAACTTCGCAGAAGAACACTGCGAGTGGTAGCAGTAATACTACTTCCAGTACTGCAGTTGCTAAGGTAAAGCGGACGCGTAAAAGCGTGCCACGAGACTCGCCGCCGCAACGTAGCTCCATCTATAGAGGCGTCACGAGGTCGGAAATTTAGAAAAACCGTACTGGAATGTCAAAAGTTTTGTTGATTTCTTCGCGTATTGTTTTTTTTTTTCATAGAGAAGATTTTTATTCTTGTTCAGGCATCGATGGACTGGACGATATGAAGCTCATTTGTGGGATAAGAACTGCTGGAATGAATCACAGAACAAAAAAGGAAGACAAGGTAAATTATTTGATCTTTCGCCTTATTAATTTTTTTTTTTTCTTTAATTATGTATTTTTATTGGTTCTACAAAATGGATCATTCATGAGTTTTATTTGTGATATTGACATTGACGATGGATCGTGACTGTGATGAAATCAAACACTAAATGCAGTATACTTAGGTGAGTTTGATGACCTCAAAAATTCTATTTATAAAATTGAAAGAGAAATTTATTTAATTAATTTGAGTTTTTAAAGAAAATTCTTGTTTATTTTTAAGGGGCTTGATGATGAAGCAGCAGCAGCACGTGCGTATGACTTGGCAGCATTGAAGTACTGGGGACGAGAAACTATCCTAAATTTCCCAGTAAGTTTTTATTTATTTATTATTTTTATGATCTTTATGAGGTTAAAAGCATATATTTTTAGGTTAAATAATATATATATATATATTACCTTTACCATGTTAATTGTAGTTGTCGACCTATGAAGAAGAGCTCAAAGAAATGGAGAGTCAGTCAAAAGAAGAATATATGGGTCTTTGAGGAGGTAATTTCAATTTAGAATTTTTATTTAATTAAAAATTATCTTCAAATATTGAAGGGTTGAGATTAGTTTCAATAAATCCTTATTTAAAATTTGAACGTTGGATTGATTTAACAATTTTTTTTTTTTTTTTTGTAATAATAAATCCAGGAAAAGTAGTGGATTTTCTCGTGGAGTCTCAAAATATAGAGGCGTAGCAAGGTAATATTTATGCGTTACATATTTATAGTATACTATTTATCTTATAATTTAATGACCCTTTAAATTGATTTGAAAGTAGCAATCAAATACATAATATTTCAGCTTTTGTCACATCCACTTATTGTCTCAAAATTATGAAATTTAGGAGTTGCACCAATTAAAGTCATAAATTGTCAAGTCTTATAGCGAAATGCCCATCAAATCCATCTATATAAGACTTGATTAGCCTTATTTGTCCACATATTCAATCAAAAAAGTGTTACTTTATTGGGTGGCAATATTACAAATTACAAACCCCACTTCATTATCAATCCATTGAAATATCTGTATGTATTTATTTTATTTATTTTTTTTAATTTGCAGACACCATCATAATGGAAGATGGGAAGCTAGAATTGGGAGAGTATTTGGCAACAATATTTATATCTTGGAACCTACGGTAAATTTTTTTTTTTTTTTTTTTCTTTCTTTCTTCTTCATGCATATATTATTTCATGACAATAGTATAAGTTTGGATTATATTAAAGAAAATTATCATATAAAAATACCAACAATTTCCTCCCAAAAGTATTAACTTTAGTGCTTGACTTTAGGGGTAAAAATGTTAGGATGGTGAGATAAAGTTGGAGCAAATGTCACCAAATCAGTTAGTTAAATATATACAAATGAGTCCAAGTGAATATATTTGTAGAGTCATTTTCAAACATAAATAAATAAATGATGAATTATACATGTATCAAATATTGTTGGTTGGATGCAGTTCACCAAACCTCAACTGCTTTCTTTCGCTATTTATTTTAAGATTCAAACTCTTCGAACAGATTTTCAACACTCACCGAATTCTGCTTCCAACAATTAATTCCCCTATTTATTGCTCATTAATGGTATATGATTTATTTATTTCTTTATTTTTTTTTTTTGGGTGTGTGTGTGTGTTCTTGCAGCTACTCAAGAAGAAGCTGCCACAGCCTATGACATGGCAGCAATTGAGTATCGTGGCCTTAATGCTGTGACAAATTTTGATCTTAGTCGATACATTAAGTGTCTTCGTCCTAACAATCAAAATAACTCTAACTCTAACCCTAATCCTAGCTCTAGTTCTGGCAACCCTGAAGAAAGCCCTAGTGCTGATACCAATCAGATTCCGAACCTAAATCACAAGCTCGGATTAGGGTTTACTGCAACCAAACCTCAGAATTTGAGTGCTAGTGAGATATCAATTGATCCTCCACCGAAGTCAAGCAACAGTAGCGGATCAGCCTCGTCGGCGCTAGGACTTTTACTACAATCCTCAAAGTTTAAGGAAATGTTGGAGAAGACTTCAGCTGTTGATTGTTTATCAACATCGGAGGCAGGTCCATCACGTCGGAGTTTCCCTGATGACATTCAGACCTATTTTGACTCTGATAGCTACACTGATGGCGATGACATTATTTTTGGGGACTTAAATTCGTTCATGGCACCGATTTTCCATTGCGAACTTGATAATTAGAGGAGTTATACGTAGCAAGCTTGGCAAATTACAAATTTTTTTTTTTTTTTTTTTGCTGACAATTTAAAATAAGCCTATCTTTACAGTTTACTCTAAAAGATTATTAGAATTATCTGTGAATATTTTGAAGATAAAGGGCGGTGAAAGGAGAAGACAAAGGATGAACAAGTAAGAAGGCATTTACTTTTTCTTTTTCTTTTTTTTTTTTTTTCTGAAGAGAAAATTTATTTTCTTCTCTCTATAAAATTTGGGAAGAAGAATTAAAGTCGGCAGATTTTTATTATTTCATTTTACATGTAGATACTGATGAATATAAACATTATTTATTTATCGATTATCTCTTAATAATATTGGCATGTAAGGGCCTCACTTAATTTATTTTTAATTTCCTCCAAACTCTCTCTTTTTCTTTCTTGAATTTTACGTTGCATTGTTTTATTCATAAGACTCGTTTACAATTATATCATGTTCCATGGAAATTATTTAAAAGTAGCAAAACGTGTTTGGAATTGTTTTTCATATTTATTAACTAAAATGGTATTAATTAAGATATTTAAAATCAATTTCGATTTTTATTTCTGGTTGCAAAATTGTTTTGAATTTTTGATGACCCTAAGCCGACCCTTATAATATTTTTCACTTTAAAAAGTTGATTACATTATAGAGTGACTCAACCTTCTTGTAAAACTCTCGGAATTTGAAAAGTCTTATCATTTTCCGAAAGAGACAAGACCACCATTAGATAAACATATCAAGTGGAAACTTTACAAATCAAATCAATACAATTCTTACGGAGGAGTTTGAAGCACGTATCATTCATTAAATATGTCTACATCTTTTGTGATAATTATCCTTGATAATTGACAAGAAAGTGGAGAGCTTATGGTGATCGTACATTAGTGTTAGTGTTTGTTAAATAGGAAGAGTAAACGATTTTTCCTCGAATAAATAACGGTTTAACGATGTTTTCTTATTCACGTATTTTTTAAATTAATAATACTATATATATGAGTAAATTTTATAAAGATTTATGTATAAATTAATGTGACATAAAATGAATGAATGAGTGAATATAAAAAGTCAAACTCATCATATTCACTCTTCCATTTATTTTGTGTCACATCAGTTTGTACACAAATCTTTGTAAAACATATTTGTACATGTAGTATTACTCTTTTAAATTACTACTTTATTATCTAAATTTATATTTCATTTCCGATTCCAACATCGTTGAGACCCCAAACCATCTCTATTTTCTTCCCCGATCATTACTTAAAAAAACCTCTCAAACTTTACTCTCGTTGACCTCGCCAATCATCAACAATCAAGCAATTAGGGTTTGTACAGTCACCCCTCCCAAGTCAAATTTCGATAAATTCTAAGCACTAAAATCCAATCTTCCACCACTAAAAAACTCATCAGTCTCCCCTCTTCAAAAGCCTCAACAATTTGGACTGAGTTTATTTTCTGTTCACTGTCGAAATATAATAGTAAAGTAATATTTTAAAAATCTGTGCATGAAAAAGTATCATTAAACTATTATTGGGGTGGGAAAAAGTCGTTAAGTCAAATAGGAAAATAAATTATTAGGAAGCAGCTGGGAATGATGCAAGAAGAGTATGTGGGAGGTGAAGGGCGTTAGAGGTTGGGAGCTACCACCCTAATTTATGAATTTAATTTAAATGTTGGGAAAACATCGATTTTGGTGGGAGTTGAGAGTACTTCATCCGTATTTTTTTATTTTTCTACATAAAAAGTGGGTGTTAGCTAGCTAGACAACAACTTAAATCAATTGTTTTCATAATAAATTGTGTAGACTAATATAAATCTCTTTAAATGGGAGTGGAACATAGGGTTAGTAAATTGACATCAATCGGTATGATGTCTCTCGAGCTGTAAAAGTCTTTGACTAATTGACTAAATATTGTCGGCTTATTTGAATGAACAAATTTGCCTTTCAATTTCATGTAAACATTTTTCACTTTGATTCCCATCTGTGAGCGATGACATAAGTCTTGTAGGGGTTGTTTCTAAATTTTACACTTCATCTTTCACTCAAATCGATTCTTCTTAGTTGACAACGTTTAAAATTTTCATATTTAAAAAAATTTTAGTTTTCTTAGAAAAAGAATAAGCAGTTCTAAAGGGTTGACCTGTCGGTCAAAGAAGTTTGATACCTTCTTTGAATTTTTAAGTTCAAACTTTGGGACCATATATCACAACAACATTGTGACTTACCTGGTCCTTTGAGTTTACAGAGTGTTTAATAGATCCCGAAGATTAATTGAAGTACGCCAAAGTTAGATGGTCCAAACATGTTTATACTTTGAAAAACTTTTACTAAGCACTTTGATAGTTTGATACCACATTATTGAAGTTGATTTTAGCTTTCAAATGAAACCCAATATGGCATTTTTTGTTTTAAAAGTCACAAGATTTTTAGAGTAATAGTGAACCAAACACTTAATATGTTACAATGAGTAATTTTAACAAGTGTACTCAGAGTCCTACAATAAGACTATTATGAACAAAATTTTATTATTTTTGAAATTTTATTTACAAAATACAAAAAAAAAAATATTTTTTTAATGTATCGATAATTCATTTTCTTTTGTTTAATTATCTTGATGTCTACCCTCTATTATGATAAATCATTTCGGTACTAGTTAAAGTTATTGACACAAATTTTGAAACAAATTAGTGATTATTATTTAATACAAAGTAATCATCTCTACTTTTCTCAAGTCTATTGGATTAATTGAATAAAAATCAAGAATTTATTTTACAAATTTAAGCAAAAATTTTGTGTTGAAATATCCTAACATAAATAAATATACAAAATAGCTAAGATTTGACGAAATATTAGAAATTTCTAAGAATGGGCCGCTAGCCTCATTACCCAGAGGCCCACTAATAAAATCCAAGTAGCCAATATCGAAATTCTTGCACTTTGTTAGCGCTAGGGGTGAGCAATTCCAGGTATCCTGTGTTTTTTCAGAGAATCAAAACCGAAACCAGAACCTGCAAGTTCCTAGGAAAAGGAACCAAAATTGGAACCGACAAGTTCCGATTATTTGATTCTTAGAACTAGTTTCGGTTCCTTATCCAGGTACCCTATAAAAAGTCAATTACCCCCTATTAGTTTAAAAAATGACAAAAAATCTTAAAATTTTACAAATACACCCCTGAAAAATTAAGAAAACCTTAAAATTATAGATATATACATTTTACAATGTATAGTTATGGAATTAATTTTGGGAATTATATTTTTGTAAACTTTATTATCCAAAAATACAAATATTATATAATATTATAATTACTAGAGTGAAAATAAAGTTAAATTAACATTAATTGTGAATTTGTAACAAAAGAATAAAATTAAATATTAATATTAATATTAATATGATTTATGAATCTTTAATTAAATAATTAGTATGACTCTAACTTTGAATTTGTTTAATGATTTCTTAATATATAGAATCCAAGATCCGTAAAGCTCTACCCAATATCGAAATTCTTGCACTTTGTTAGAGTTACGGGTCAGCAATTCCAGGTATCCTGTGTTTTTTGGGAGAATCAAAACTGAAACTGAAACCTGTAGGTTCCTAGGAAAAGGAATCAAAATCGAAACCGACAAGTTCTGATTCTTTGATTCTTAGAATCAAAACTTGAAATGCAGGTTCTAGTTCTTTATCCGGGTACCTCATAAAAAATCAATTACCCCCCTATTAGTTTAAAAAATAACAAAAAACCTTAATTTTACAAATACACCCTTGAAAAATTAAGAAAACCTTAAAAAATATATATATATTTTACAAAGTATAGTTATGGAATTAATTTTGGGAATTATATTTTAGTAAACTTTATTATCCAAAAATACAAATATTATAATTACTAGAGTGAAAATAAAGTTAAATTAACATTGATTGTGAATTTGTAACAAGAGAATAAAATTAATCATTAATATTAATATGATTTATGAATCTTTAATCAAATAATTAGTATGGCTCGAACTTTAAATTTGTTTAATGATTTCTTAATATATCGTGACTCATGAGGCATGAGTTGTCATACTATAATGTATTAATCATTTAATTAAGTAATGTAATAATTTAGTAAATTACTAATGTTTATGATATAATGTTATAATTAATTAGCTAATCATTTAAATATTATAATTAATTAAATTTCTAATCAATTAATTAGATAATGTATTAACGTAGTAATGTTTATAAAGTAATGTTATAATTAATTAAGTATTATAATATAATGTTATAATTAATTAAATTTCTAATCATTTAATTAAGTAATACACTAATGTAGTAAATTACTAATGTTTATTATATAATGTTATAATTAATTAATAATTATATAATCATTTAACTAGTAATGTACTAATATTTATCAATTTATCATATATAATTAATTAACTACTAATTTACTATATATATACTTAGAACTTGATAATTGAAATAAATAACTAAATATTATTCAATCAAATATTATTTTATTCAAAAATAATTTTTTTAATGACATTAAAACACTTTTAATTGGATCATAATTCTAATTATTATTTATACACTCAATTAATCTAAACTTTAATATTATAATATATTAAAGTTTTTTATATGGTGAAATATATATGTATAATTAATTGTATATATATTTGATTAGGTTATTTTTATTGTTACACTATAATTTTTTATATAACATTTTTGACCATTTTAAATTTTTTTATATGTAAAATTACAAAGATGCCCAATTCTTTACTGATATTTCATTTAAATCCAAGTTCCAACTTGAGTACCTAAACTTGGTTCCAAGACAGGTTCCATTCAGGGTACCCAATTTCAAGTTCCCAACTCAGGTTCCAGTTCCAGTTCCAGTTCCAATTCCTATACATATAGGAATCGAATCCGCACAATAACAGTTCCAAAAATTGAAACCGAAACCTATCTATATAGTATCAGTTCTGGGTAGATTCTGATTTCAGTTCTACCCGCTACCTATACTCATCCCTAGTTAAAGTGATGGTATGACTCACATAAATAGATAGGCCCCATCACCAATTTAGATTAGGGCAAAATTGTAATTACACTTCAAACCATCTACTGCAATCTGCAATGGACCAGAAAAAATCCTGAACTTTTCCAATCAATTGTGGCCAAACGTCACATCTATTAAACTATCATGCCAGCATCATTATGTGCATAGTTTCACCCTGATCCAATGCTACCGGCAATGTATATAAATTTACTGGTCAATGCACATTTAGTAAGAGCCCAAAATTATCGATTGAGTACGGACTTCCGTGTTCAATTTTATTAGGAATTGTAAAGATTTAAACTTAAAAAAACCGTACAAATTTAGATTCTTCTAACTTTTTTACCATCGGATATGATAAAATATCATCCAATTTGCAATCTTTCAATTTTTTAATTTTTTATTAAATTATTAATTTAATTAAATAATTATTTACTTATTTAGGTAATTGGTTAAAGAGTTAAGATAACTGACATTTCATAAACAACTTTTGATTTTTGAAAGTTTGAAATTCTTTCATAATCAAAGTTGACAAATAATTACTTGTAAAATAAATTTAACAAATACTTTTTGGTTACTAAAATAAGTGATTATTTTGTAACCCAAACAACTGCACCAAGAACACAGAATAAAGAGTGTTCAAGAACAGTAGAATATAATGGAACATTATATTATATTGAGATGGCAAAATGTGAATGCAGATAATTGATTGAATATTATTAAAATTCAAAAATCAATTTCTTTCCATTCATATGGCCAGTCACCTTTACACAAAATGGAGAGCTTTTTCCACCAAGGAGGGGGAGCATATATAGGCGGCCACCAAGAATCGAAACCAATACTAAAAACTTCTGAGTTCAGAGGTTGAACTGCAAGAAGATGGAAATTCTGATTTACTCAAATCGTGCAGCAAAGCTTCGAGTCGATTGAAGCCAAACATATGCAGAATGCTTGGTAACCAGTCAATGGATATCTGCATAATGAAACATGCATTATTAGTACAGTGTAGATTTCTCTTTACTTTATTACTGAATATTAAAAGTTTCCGAAAAGTATTCAACTCTACCTGAAATCCATCACATACTTGGATTTCCCCACTCTTCCAAGCTGCAAAATCGTTTGTCGTCCATCCTCCTGCATAAACCATACAAAAGTCAGCCATTGCAAACTAAAAATTGTACTAAACAAATCACTCTTCTACACGTTAAAGGTTCGAATGAAAAATTTTACCTCCAATGTCAGCTGAAAATTCTTTACTGAGCTTTGAATTCTAAGTCCAGCTCTTCCCCTGTCTCTGTAGTCCAACTCGTACTGCTTTGAAATCTATAAGTCAAGCAAAATAAAAAATAATAAGAATTCATGGAGAAAGAGGTTAATGCAAGTCCAAAGATTTGCTTTTTTTTTTTTTTTTTTTTTAATTGAGCTGAGAAAGTACACCCATATGCTTACATTATTGTACTGTGGGATCCTTGAAGAAAGCTTATGAACTTTCTCCAACTTCCCCTCCCAGTCTTTGGGAAGTCCATTAATGTGTTGCACCTACCATATAAGAAATTTGATGTAAGTACTATTCTTTAGACTCGAAAGGTGATCATAATCATAATGGAGTGAGTAACCATTATACCTTGGAGTCTGCCGAGCTTATGTGAGTGGTACTCTTCAGTAGCATGGACTGGTGCTTGGGTATATATGCGCGCATGCTTCTGTAACTACCGGTTAAAGTGGTTATGGTTGGCATGAACCTGGAGAAACAAAGTAAAACAGCAACAATCAGGGGAGCAAAGAGAGAGTTGAAGAGAAAGGGATGGAGGAAGAGTCCTTGGCTTACATTACAATGGCAAGAACTGGATTAGACTGCCTGTTGATTGAAGAGAGACGGCTAGTCTACAATCAGATGGATTATGATGAAATTAGTGACACAAATCTTCACAGCAAGTCTATGATTCAATAATTCAGTGTGCGGTTTTAAGAAATTAACCTGATCTCTTATATGGTATTTTGAACCCATGAGATTAGCTGTCACTGTCCCGATGAAACTATCATCTGTCTTTGACTTTATTCCTCTTGTATTCTGAGCTATAGTAAACTGTGACTTCCCATTGCGTCGCTTATGGTAAGCTACCGCCAACTTTCGGTTCTGTCGTCCCTGGCCTTCCTGTAGATTTGATCCATCCATAAATGATTAACAAACTGGCAACTAATCCCAGTGCTGCACTTTTTGCACATCAGAATTATAGTTCATTCACTGATAACAAATGATTCAAAATTTCAAGCTCAAGAAAAATTTGAACATAATTCATGTAATAACGAATTGATACATAATTAAAAGACAGCTTTAATTATTTGAATCATATCATTTCTATATCAATACACATGCAGAACAAAAAGAAAACTGACTAAACAAATAATCAAGATGGGATGGCATATTTTAGTTGCAACATTGAATAAGTAGACACAAAAAAGAACTGAACATCAGTAGAGCTTTCAGTAAATCCCTTTGCCTAGCAATAACTGTTAAAAATGCTCAAACCATACTGCCAGATAAAATCATTTTCCTTCTATCGTTCATTTAGTCGTTTATTGAAGGCATCATGCTTTTTAGAATTTTCATTAAGGGAAGAATATCTGTCAATGCTTTCCATGATTCATTTTAACCAAAACTGCATCAATTATAACTCTGTTGATAATTTACTTGTTTGAAAAATCTCCCACTGTTATTGCCTTAATAAGGGTTAAAGTAAGAGAGGCTACTAGTGTATCTAAATCTTCAATTTCAGTTCATATAATTTGTTACATTTAGAAACTCCAAAATGAGAAAGAACTCGCACTCCTGGACTGTCTTTCCATACAAACAATGTGTCATATAATATTTCGCTTCTAATTTGATTTTTCCAAATTCCAACACTAACTGTAAGAATCCTAACGTTCTTGGAACCATAAAACTTTTTTTATTCTCAGAACAAAGTTTCGTACTTATAAGTTCTCTGTTCCAAGTTTATCACATGTTACCATCAATTTTTTGAAGGTCCTTGGGGTTAATTTCTTGTGCACAAATGGCTAAAAACTTGAACCATGCCAGTTATATATCAATACACACAAAGATCAGAGAACCTAAAGAGAAGCTATAATAATTGGAAAAATAAAAAAAATAAAAAAAATAAAAAAGAAGAAGAGGGGATGGCAAATTTTAGTTTTAACTTTGAATAAAAGATTCTTAAAGAAAATTGAATCATGCTGCCAGGTAAAACTGCTTCCAAGTAACAAAAATCTTACATTGGTATAAAGTGAGAAAAGAGGAACGCCTTTTAGCCCTCGTGGACATGCTTCCTTCACAATAACACAGGTACATCTCCCTATATCCAATGGCAATGGCCTGCACAACAATGCTCTGCAAAACAATAAACCCAACTCATCATCAAATTCACACATAAAAAAATTAGCCTCCTGGAATAAAATTTAACAAAAGGTTGTGTAAATATATGGACCTATTTGGCAATGTAGACCAAGAAGAAGCCGGGGCAGCCTCCGAATCCGAATAATCCCAAATCTTCAAAGAACTAGAATGCTCAGTAGAATGCTCAGAGTCATTAGCTTCCCACAACCTCAACCCAAAAGCCTTATCGGGTTCATTCATCTGCATACAAAACTCAAGCGACGACGGCTTCAAGGCCCTCCCGGTAGACAAAGACTTGAAATGTGAGACCTGCTTAACCCCATCAGTAGCTACTTTGGTGGACAAAGACTTCAACGCTGAAAACTGTTTTGCATTAGTTAATGGTGCTGCATTTTCTTTATCATCACTGGCAACATTCTCTTTCTTGTTTGGCACAGCATTTTCTTTGTCGTCAGAGAAGGTATTTACACCTTCTCCTCCACCTTCACTGCAACAGCGGCTGTGTCTGGACTCGGTTAAAGGGTTAACGTAGAGGGAATTGTATGAAGATTGGCGTGGCACAGTGAGTTTCTTGAAACCAGTCATGTCTGTCTATTTTGGAGAGCAAGGCTTGATTTTGAAATGTTGGGTTGTTTTCTGGAAGTGTTTTTGCTTCTGGGTTGTGTTCCGAACTTAGAGATTATATTGAAACTGGAGTTTGTCTTCTTGGAGGAAGATTTGATTTGAAATGGAGTTGAAGTTTTTCAATGAAGTGTGGGAAAGTTTACTTTGGGAAAAGATTTAAAAAACTTTCTTCTGGTAAGTAGAAAGTTTTGTGTGTATTAAGCATTACGAATAAGTGATTTCAGTGAACTGTTATGATTTTGACACGTCAACAATCTGGATGTGTCCTCTGTGATGTGGCAAAATCATAGAGTTTAAAATCCATCTTGGATAAAATATTATTTAGGTATTGTGTTTTATATAATACTATTTTTTGAATCTTAATTTGATGTTAAATGAACAATGATTGGAAAGATGACAAATCAAATTATAAGAAATTGTATTATTTTGAAAACCTAATATCAATTGACACATTTTGGGGGATTTAATTTAAAATTAGCTATTTTTTTAAAATATCTTACGAAACTACTCATATTTCAAAAATATAACTCTTATTTAAGATAAAAGAGTTTTTTTCACCCAAATAATAGTTTAATGACACTTCTTCACTTACAGATTTTTGAAATATCATTTTTCCACCCAAAAAACACTTTTAATGATACTTTCCCACCAACCTCGTTGGTCGCCAATCGATTTTGACAATATTACGATCTCAAACCGCCTTTCATGATGATCGCTAACTAAAACTCATCAAACTTTATTCCTATCGATCCTGCCAATCATCAGCAATCAAGCGATTAATGTTTGCGTAATCACCATTTCCAAGTTAAATTTCAACCAATCACGATCACCAGAATCTAACTTTCTACCATCAAGAGGCTCACTGGTCTCTCCTCTTCAAAAACCTCAATAACATGGATTGCTTTTACTCTCCATTGGCCACCGAATCAAAAAGTGTATTTTTTTGGGTGAGAATATTATATTTTAAAAGTCTGTAAGTGAAAAAATATATTTTTTTTTTGTGAAAAAATAGTATTTTAAAAGTCTATGAATAAAAAAATATCATTAAACTATTATTTGGATAGGAAAAATTGGTTAACTCTTTTATAAATGAGTTATTTCTTAATTTTATATGAAAAATCAAATAAATAATTTGTGAAGTAAAACGTCAACCCATGACAGTTTGTCACGTAATCAGTTAATGGTAGATCCCACAGACGGGGCATAGTGACATAAAAGCTGACGTGGGGTCTTGTAAGTGGTGGAATGTTTCTTTCAGTAAGTATATTAGTTGAGTGGAATATATTATTAATGGGCAGAATTTTGAATTTGAAATGGAATGGGGAATTGTGAAGAGTGTACTGGTTTTGTGGAATCAAACGGTAACTATTAGCGTATGCAAGTGTTGTCGTTTTATGTGGTGCTCTGGGAAGATGCTTTTGACTTTAATCAAAAAGATTTGGGACACCGAGAAGCGGCAAACATGTTTGAATATCAAATAAATACGGTATTTAATTTAAGTATAGGGACTTGTAGAGTAGTGCACAATCTATAGAGATTGTTTCTAAAATATACTACAAAAATGCTATTTAATATTGTTTTTTAAAATGAGTTTGAAAACTAAAATAAAATTTTTATTTTGTATTTCCAAAATTTCAATATTGTTTGTATTATACGATTAATCAATCAATTTATATTAGTTTAGATATTTTTCTCTCTCTTATTTATCTTTATATTGAATGTGATTGATAATAGTTAAATACGATAATTATGTAGCATTCGTGCATTGACTTGTATTATCACGTCAACCTATTATTATGGTACATATATTTTTTGAACAAACAATATATGTACGTACATGATCTTTCGTAAATAATTTAATTTTAATTATTCGTTTGTAGTGGTATTTGGTTCTTCAACTAGTTGGATCTTTTGAAATTCGCCAACCTCACTTACATTTAGGTGGGAGGGTGAGGGATTTGGTTTAAATTGGATAATTGTTTAATAAAATATTCTCTTAATCAAAGCTTATCACCTATAACCTATAATTATTATATAATAGGAAATCATATGCCTAAAAGGAATAAATACAATAGTTTACTTTATTACAAAGCTTTTTCAGATGTGATTTCATTAGGATTAATTTTGGCACGTAGAAATAGACTTCATTTAAGATGTATTTATCAAGATTTTAAAGCTCGGTCTGGCTAGTTGAACCAATTCAATCGGGACCCGGGGGGCTTCACCGGGCCAGGTTACAAAATTCAAATATTCCCGAAAATTCTAACATAATCGTCGGCGAATGAGAGGCTACCAAGTGCCAAATTTAGAGGACTATTGTAGAGTGGAGGCTGGTGATTCAAGGGGCAAAGTCAAAGTGAATTTTGGATGCCGGAATAAGTTGAAAGCTCGCTGAAAATATCAACCCAATCGCGACTGTATACACGAGTCACAGCTGACGAACGGGGCTACCAAGTGTCGAGGTTAGAGGGGTTTTGTAGAGTGGAGGTTGGTAGTTCAAGTGGTGGTGTTGGATTGAATTTTGGCCATTGGAATCAGCCAGAACTTGGCCAGAAAAATCAAAGCCCTAACTGTTACAACGGTGTGTTTTGCTCTGTTTCAAACCTATAGGGACTGATTAGTAATTTCAACAAGTGTTTGGAAGATTTCAAAATTTTTTGATCATAAGTCAGATCGCTGGTTTAACCAGTTGGATCGATCAACCTAGGACCCGGACGCTTGGCCGAGTGACACCTCGAGTCGAGTTTCAAAACCTTAGAATTTAGTATTTAGAAATGGACTTAATCCAAGTTTCATAAAAAATATAGCGAGTCTTTTGAAATATATTTCATTCAAGCATTTAATGTGTTGTTACGAAAATTTACAACAACCAGAGAGACTCAATCGATCTTAGTAGGATCGAATCAAGTGCGTACGTGGTTGTAATCAACTAGCAAAGTGAGATAAACAAATCGAAAATAAAAGTTAGGTAGAGAAAATTTTTAAAGTGACTTGACGGGTGAAAACCAAACCAACATCTTGTGTTATATTATTATTTTGGGTGTTTTTCCCTTGGATTACATATTACAAAGAGTTGTTCCCTTCTCCCAATGAGATATGTGTATAAAAGAAAGAAAATATCTCTGCCCAGAGGGGCTTACATGAATGGTAAAAAGAGAGAGAATCGCTAAACTTGAGAGCAGCGTTTAACTTGTATGCGAGTGCACAGCGAGGTGATTAGGAGACACATGACACAAATCTGACGGTCCACGCGACACAATGTTTTAGTCGTTTGCATGTAGAGATATTTTACAACTATATATGTAACTATTACGATAATTTATCTTTCATTTCATTATTATATTTTTATTTATTAGATAATGGTACAATATTTATTGTTTCATGAATATGCACATAATAAAATACATCAGTTTGTAAATATAAGAGTATTCAATTAAATTTTATAAATTATAAATCTAATATTCTTGCTTTATTGTGGGGATTTAAATTTAGAGCAAACGACATATTCCCACCCAAAGTTTGGGGAAACCCCAGTTGATACGGTTGGTTCAATTTATCCCGTTTTGTCACCCTTAATCTAACACTGTTAATAACGGATGGATCTGATACAGTGACAGTGAGTAACAATGACTGAAATACCCTTGAACCTTTGACTTTAGATTATTTAGCAAATAAAAACTAAATAGGCTGTAAAAAAACAAAAATGCCCCTATCTTTAGTTTATTTTCCAAATATAGTGAAATTACCCTAATGCCCTTAAACCATTTGAAAATTCAGCAACAATTGTTTGAATGTTGAGGTTTAGCTGTATAATGGCAGAGTAATATTTCTTAAAAATGAGCATACATCCTGAAAAGTTTCAAGTTTGAACACAAACACATCCTACATAAAACCAACATCAAAGATCATACTACAACCATACATACTGAGAACAACACTTTTGCATTGAACATATATATATGAAAAATACATAATTTGGCCTTGAAATGTGATGATCAACAACGCAAAAACAGAAAATTAAAGCTGCATATTACATCAAAAAAACCCACTGCATCAGTCCTAAATCAATTACAACATTCACAATAGACAACCTAAATCAGTTGCTATCTGTACAATATTATCACACCATATTTGCATACCAAGACTAACAAACAAAGTCCTATATACAACTTCTCCAAATTTCACCAAGCATGCTTCAACTCCACACATCCAAAAAAAACCAACATCATGCTTCTACAGTTTTATCACACCCAAAAACAACAACATGCTTCAACTCCACACTCCTTAAGTACCTGAAAAAAAAATCATAAAATCAATTTAAGGGGCTGCCTTTGATAGTTTGAAGCAATGTCACAATGTTAAAATTTGAAGGACTGATGTTACACTAACCTGCTACCCTTGACAGTTGCTTCAATGTTGACATGTCTAACTTGTTGGGGCTGATGAAGCTTCTCCTCTCTAAACAAAGCATAGAAAACAAATGTTAATGCAAGCAAATTCTATTACAAAAACAATACTAATCATGTTAAATAAAAGCTTTAAAATACCCTTTGATTCTTGTTGTTTGAATGATTTTGTGGGCAACGTCTCTTGTTATGTCCTAAAGTTCGACAGATCCCACACCTAAGTGTTGCACCTTTGGTCATCCTTGGTTCTTCATCAGCATCCTTTTTTCTAGCCTTTTTGGGCCTCCCAACCTTGCTATGTTTGATAGGTGGATTCAGCTGCCTACCCCCAAGCAAGTCAGGCCAACTAAGTGGGTCAGGTATGGGGTGAATGTGATCAGCATATGTTTTTACGTATGAAGTGATTCTTAATGAAGAGTCCACATAATTCTCCATATTTATAATGTTCCTAAAAAGCAAACAATGGACTGCATGCACACAAGGGACTCCAGAAAGTTGCCTCATTCCACAGTTACAAGTTTGAGATTGAAGGTTTAATATGTTACGTCTATTGGGAAGGCAGTTGTTATCCACCACTTCAAACTCATCATTCCTAGGCCAAATAGCTTCAATATTCCTAGTAAACTCAATTAGACCATTGATTTTCCTATGTACAACAGGGGGAACAGTTGTGACCCAAGCATTCCTAGCATTTGCCCTAGCT